TGAAAAATTAGGCAATCATATATTATTTTTTCGTTACTTTGGTGAAACAAGTATTATTAATGTAACTGCTATTAATCATAATGTAGGATTTCTTGAAGTAGCAACAAATAAGCATATTATAATTAATAGAGAAAATCGGGTTACATTTAGATAATTATTGGGTAAAGGTCGGATTATTTCAAATAAAATTATAAATTTTCAACAAATAAGCATATTATAATTGATAGAGAAAATTGGGTTACATTTAGGTAATTATTGGGTAAAAATCGTATTATTTCAAAATTAAAATTATAAATTTTCAGAGTACAATTGGAGTATTTCAATCTGAACATAAAATCAGATTATTTTCAAATTTATTTAGAATAATCGGAATGTTTTTTTAAAGCATAATCAGAGCACTTTCAATCTTAGTATAAAATCGGGTAATTTTCAAATGTATTCAGAATATTTTCAGAAAATTTACTACTATATTAAATTTTTAAATTTTGACTAAAATATCATTCGCAATGTAATCGGAAAATTTCCAATAAAATCAGAATATTTTCTGTATATTCGGAAAAAAATCAGAATATATCGAAAAAAAATTTTCATAGGCTAGGTATAAAAAACAAATCCATTTCTTATTAGCACTGGTTTATAATGCAGTAATGGGACTATTAACTAAGTGAAACATTATATAAAGAATTAAGAAATACACTTATAATACATTACCAAATCTTTAAAGATAAAAAGATAAACAAATGCAGTATTTCTTTGTCTCTGGACTAGGTACTGGAAAATCCAGAAGTTACATTGGGCAACAGTTGAGTGTACTAAAGATTTTTAAAACTAGATAAACTGAAAGATTGGCTTAATAATGCATGAATATTCAATACCTCCTTTGAAAATGGCTATAGTTTAAACCCTTATGAAGATCCTTTTAGGAGGTAAGCTATTAAAATCACGTTAAGATTCATATGATTTACTATGCTCGTAACTCGATTTTAATAGCAAATTCCCCATTTTTTGCTATTGGTTCACGAATGCTTTATACACTTCTTAATAAAATGATAGGCTATATAAATAGTAATTATAAGACACTACATCCATTTGAAGTCTTGGAATTGGTTACAAAATTTGAGAATAGTAAATTGGATGATGTTGCCGTTTTTTTAGTTATTGATGGAATTCATAACATGATTAATGAACTTGAAAATGATAGAACTAATCAAACATTGTAATTTACAAAACATTATCAAGTATTGGAGATTTTCATCAGAAGAAACTTTCTTTATTGCATACTGTACAGCATCAACTACTAGTCTAATCGAAATGTTTCTTACAATATCATCAAGATTCTGAAAAATTTACCAATTATTTCTCTATAGCCCCAATTATTACTATTCCTGATGGAGATATTTTTGATATGAACAATTCAGTTATAAAACTTCTTGAGATTTTGTATGAGATTTTTAGTAAGAAGAATATTGATGACTGAATATCTATGAATTTATGGCAACCCTAATTTATGAACTCAGAATTCAATATTCTTTAACCTTTAATTATGTTAATGAAGCAAATCGTAAGTGCAATATTAATTCAGACAATCTTGGATTTGAATAAACCTATTTTAGGTAAAACTTGACACCTGATAAAATTACTACTGTTGAAATATTTTATTTTGAAAGGAAGAAAGGCTATAATTATAGATACCTATGGCTATAGGTTATGGCTGAAAAGTTTACAGATAGAAAATCACCACATCTTAAACATTGAAATTTTAATGATTACGATACTTGGTAGAATTTTGAAAATTTAATGCTTGCTCAAAATCAAAGTTCTTGAATGAAGAGAAATAACAACTAACTCAACAATTCACTATGGAGCATGATAATGTGAGGATATCAAAATTTTAATTCATTATTTACAATTAGATAATTCTAGCTATCAAGTTCAAGGAATTTCAAGGATATAATTGCGTGTGAAAATTAAAATGTTGATATCCGAAAATGCACAAATTGTATACATAATGCAGGAGGTGTACCATATGGTGATATGTTCATTAGATTGGATACGCAAAATCATACAAAATAGTTTATGGAATCTAATATATAAATTATTGAATGAAACTCCCTTCACCCATAATCATTTACAATAAAGAGCGAGAAAAAGTGACATTTGTGGTTGATAATTTTATGTTTATTACAACAAAAGAATCAAAATTTTAAATAATTCTGGAATTGTTGACAAGAATAACTGGAATGAATATTTTGGCCCTTTTCTGATAGGGCTTACATATTTGCTGAAGATGTTCCGGATCTCAATAAAGCAAGCTGCACACAATTACAGATTATAGATCAAATCGATAGGAGAAAAGCAGATATGATTATAGTAAAGAGAAATAAAAGAGAATTCAAGGATTTAACTGATGCAGTAAAGAGGCTCCAAGCATGAAGAAACAATTAAATACATTTTTAAGTCAGTTCCAGGGATAAAACCTAATTTTTAAAATTCTTGAACAAAATATTTGAAATATACAGCTTGCTAAAAAGATAGCGCAAAATTTTAGAAATCTTTGTAATGCATTACCAACAAAAAAATTAGTTGCTAGTTAGTTTGAAAATAGGTAAATAGTTTATTGACTAGATTGTTAAAGTACTTGGTAAATAATAACAAATCAATATATCGAATATCTTTGTATAAATAATTCATTCCACTCAAATAAAAAAATCAATTGAACGAATATTTATGTTTAATAAATTCACGTAAGGACTACCTCAAAAAATATTCAAATAATTTGATTGCACTTATGAAATAGCATTTAAAAGGGTACCCTTTATTTTTAGTTTTACTAAACAAAACGTACTAATATCATCTTCGCAATAGTCTTTACTTTTTAATGAAATCAAATTTATTAGTATTTTTATTTATTATTATATAATTTAAAAATTATAGATCAATGGATAAAATTATTTATTTACTCTTTATATTTTATGATGGGAAGTTTATTGAAGGGTGTAAAAAATGCTCTTTAAAAAAATTACAATAACTAAATAAATATTATATACCTTTAGGTTTTGTTTATGACAGTCCAGATTCTTCAAATATTGGATCGATCAGAAGGAAAACCTATGAAAGGGTAGAAATGCTAATTATTTTTTTATTTAAAACAAATTACAACAACTAAAATAAAAGTAATTTACTTTAGATATGTTTATAATGGATCAGAATCTTTAAAACTTGGATTGATCAGAGGTAAACCTATGGGAGGCGTGGAAATATTTAATATTATTTTTAAAATTACAATAACTAAAGTAATTTACTTTTAGGATTGTTTATGATAGACCTCTTTAAACATTGGATCAATCGGAGGTAGCATATAAAAAGTTATGAATATTTAATTATTTTTAAAAAAATTATAATAATTAAATAGAAGTAACATACCTTTAGGATATATTTATGATGGACCAGATTTTTCAAACCTGGATTGATCAGAAGTAAGCCTATATAAGGGTATAGAAAATGTTAATTAATTTTAAAAAAATGCTGTTTTAGATTTTGGCAAGGATTCAGCGTGAACGCGTGGTATAATGCAGTGGTGCGGTGGTTAACACTTTCAGTGGCTAATATTCAAATTTTTCTTTTTTTATTACTATAGGTTTTGGAGCAGCTTGGGTTTGGGCGGATAATATAAAAAAAAGTAGTTTTTTAATATAGATTTTTTTCTTCGTGTGGACCGTTAAACTGATTGAACTGATAAAAAAAATTAGATTGTCTGGAACATAAAAAATGTTCTGGACGATTTCCAAAATTAGCATACTTATCCGTATGACAACGAACAATGATGGATATTTATAACATTGTCCCATAAAAATCTGTAAATATCATCAGTTGTACAGTGGTATCAAAAGTCACCGGGCACTTAAAAATTAGAAAATCGACAGAAATTTTGACCTCAAATTAAACTTTTTTTTTTATTAATTTAATCGACTTTAGTTAAATAAGCAAAGTTATTCAATTTAATGTTTTACATATATTTTAAAGTTTTTTTATAATATTTAATTAGAAATAAAAATATTTATTGTATATTTAATA